CTAGGTGTTGTTCAGTAGATTCGACAAGAACATTCATTTTGGAGTCAATCAATTATGTAGTCGCTCCCCTACCCGAATTGCATTATCGGTGACGCTTCTTGGGCTTACTTTCGTACTCCTCCTCCTCGTCCTCTTCCCGCAGGGTGGCCAGCGCCCCGGGGGGGTGCCTTCCTGCGCGCCCAGGTCTGCTACCTCGACATCTCGAAGGACCCCACCCTGGCGGCGATGGAGGTGGCCATGAGGACCGCAACTCCGCCTCCCTCCTTCCCTCGTTCTCATCGGGGCTCTCCTTGCACTTCCACAAGCCCCCTGCCAACATTTTGTTTCCTTTTCGACAGTTGCAGGGAAGAAGCACACGACCGCGCATTTGTAACAGTACCAATGGCAGCTGCATCGTTAGCACCATTGTCAATGACAATGTTGTGAACCTCCTTGCCGCCTGGAAGGCGTCAGTGTCGGTTCCAGCCGACGCAGCAAACAAATCAGAGGATGAAGAAGGACGTTTTGGCTTCCCTCAAACAAGAAAGCACGGCATTAACGTCAATCCCTGAGCTCCGCGCGGGTTTCTCGGATCGTGGCTGGGCCCCCCCTGCCGGCGCCTTCAGCGCCGGACCTGGCGCGCTTCGTGCGCCGGGGTGGTGGTGCTTCCTGCGCCCATCCAAGAGATCCGCGCGGACCCACGACGCTTCTCATTGCTCGTGCAGTTTTTCGCTGCCCTGTCCTCTCCCCCCCCTTCCTTCCGATTCTGGCCGGCCCGATCCGAGCGGGTTCCGCTCTTCCGACGAGCCGATGCGGTCCAGTGCTTGCATGGCGCTGTGGTGCATCCTGGAGCGGCCGCCTCGATCCGATTTTAACCTCATGCCCATGCAGCCCGAGCCGATTCACGTTCGGATTCGATCCGATCTGCCGGTTTGATGCTAGATCTGACCCTCCGCCCTCTGCCTGTCTCCGTCCTGCTCTTTCCTTCCCCCCCTTCCTATACCTCCTCGGTCCCCTCTCCTCCCTTGTGGGCTTTTGCCTTTTTGTTTTGTCTTTCCTCCCCAGGGTGATGCTCGCTACCGATGCCAAATTTCCCCCCCTCGCCCCCCCCCCCACCCCCCACGGGTAACGCTAATGATCGCACTGGGGGGGGTGGGGGCTGGACCCCCCCCCTACATGCTGTGGTGCGCTGAGGCGATTGATGCGCCGGTGGCGCGGACGCACTCTGGCGGGTGCACGCCGCGGCCGCCGTTAATTACCGTTCCCCTCCCGTCCGACCCCCCCCCCTTCCCCTGGGTAACGACTGTTCCCGGGGAAGAATAAACAACGGTCGCCTTCCTCTCCCTCTGCCTTGACAGACCCTTCCCACTCTCCCACCCGAGCCTCTCCTGGCCACAGCGGCAGAGTGGCCGGAGAAAGTGTCGACCTGGCGGGCGGTGGGGAGGGACAGACGCGCCCACTCCGCGCCTCGTTCGTGGGCGGACGTCGGCTCGACGCCCGCTTCGTGCGCCGTCGTGGCCCGACCGTCGGAGAAGTGCAACTCAGTAAAGTAAGCTTTTCGGAGGTCTGCCAAGGCACCTCTCACCCACCCCTGCCACCTCCCACCAAGCCACCCCTGCCCAAGGAGTAAGATTCTCACCGCCCACCAAGCCGCCCCTGCCCAACCCCGAGGGCCCTCAATTTGCCCTCCATTCCCAGTGGGGGGGGGGTCGGGAAGCATTGACATTAGCCTGGTGAAGGACCCGACCACGTGCAGTTGTGAACACCGCAGTTGTAGGTATCGTCTTCGGTGGAGCCCCCTCATGGGGCCACGAAGCGCTGTAGCGGGCGGGGGAGACGCATGCGAACTGCGCCACTGGAACCCTCGGTGGAGCTCCCTATGGGGCCACCGAACGGTGTACTGGGTGGAGGAGACGCATGCGGGCTGCGACACTGGGACTTTCGGTGGAGCTCCCTATGGGGCCACGAAGCGCTGTTCTGGGTAGGGGAGACGCATGCGGGCGGCGCCCCTGGGACCTTCGGTGGAGCTCCCTGCGGGGTCACGAAACGTTGTACTGTGTGGGGGAGACGCATGCGGGCTGCGCAACTGGGACCGTCGGTGGAGCTCCCTATGGGGCCACGAAGCGCTGTACTGGGTGGGGGGGACGCATGCGGGCGGTCGACTCTGGGAGCTTCGGTGGAGCTCCCCATGGGGCCACGAAGCGCTGTTCTGGGCGGGGGAGACGCATGCGGGCGGCGACACTGGGACCTTCGGTGGAGCTCCCTATGGGGCCACGAAGCGCTGTTCTGGGTGGGGGAGACGCAGAAGGGCGGCGCCCCTGGGACCGTCGGTGGAGCTCCCTATGGGGCCACGAAGCGTTGTACTCGGTGGGGGAGACGCATGCGGGCGGCGACACTGGGAGCTTCGGTGGAGCTCCCCATGGGGCCACGAAGCGTGAGAGGGGTGTGCCAAAGTGATGGAGCTAGGGAGGAGGGAGGAGGGGGAGGAGGAGAGGAGAGGACAGGAGAGGAGAGGAACGCGGGGACTGTCTCTTCAATGCGAGGACCCAACAACGGGTTGGCTGGGACAGAACACATATGAAGCCCCTACCCCCCCACCCGAGTGGTCTGGTCGGTGGTCAGATTCCTTGGATCTGCGCTGGCAGCCCTCCCTGGCGCGCGGAGCGCTCCAGGGGCGGCGCCGGAGGCGCCGCCAGCGGGCTCCAGCGCCGCTCCAAGGACATCAGTGCAAGCTTCCGGGAGAGTATGCTCTTGCTGCTGTGTCTTCTTCTGCGACGCCGGTTGGCAAGATGGGCTGGTCAGGCTCCTCTGGGCCCCCCAGGCAAGCAGACGCGCGTGCGCACGGCACGTTCTCCGCGCTTGCTCGTTCTCGTCGCTTCTTCTATGAGCTCCACCTGTCCCTTCCTCCTCCTCCTCCTCCTCCTCCTCCTCCTCCTCCTCCTCCTCCTCCCCTCCTCCTCCTCCTCCTCCTCCTCCTCCTCCTCCTCCTCCTCCTCCTCCTCCTCCTCCTCCTCCTCCTCCTCCTCCTCCTCCTCCTCCTCGACCGTGTGCAGCAGCAGGATTGCCCGTGTCCCCGATGCCGCCTGTGGGGGCCACGGGGCAGCAGAACCGTCGGGCGCGAGGAGGGCCCAGCGTGGATCCAAGAAGCCCACGCGCACCTCCAAGCGTTCATGCTAGTGCCTTTTTGTCTTCTGTGGCCCCCCCCCCCTCCGTCTGCTCGGGCTCGGGCTGCAGGCATCAGGGTCCTTGGTCGGATGCTTCCATCCCCACCAGGGGCCGTTGGCCCTGGGCAGCGGTGGTGCTGGTGGTGATCTATCTGGAGCTTGTAGAAACAGAGTGGGAAACCGCGAAGTACGCGAGGAATCAAGTGGGGAGGGGGGAAGATGAGAGAGGAGGATCACCGACCAAACCGCCAGGACTGCGAGCGTGCCGCCTTTGAGCAGTCCCTGGGCCGAGGATGGGGTTGTCTGGGGGGGAGCACCCGTCACCTGGGGACCCCCCCGATTCGCAGCCTGCTCATGCTGGTGTTGGCACCGGAGCCAGGCATGGCAGTTGCTGCTCTACGTCCGAGTCGGTGTGGTGCGACATGCTACCACAGGGGAACGAAGAATGACATGAAGCAGAAAACCTCGGAGGTCCGCGCGGATTCCTGGGATCGGCGCTGGACCCCCCTCCCTCGCGCGCAGGGGCGGCGCCGGAGGCGCCGCCAGGGGGGCCCCAGCGCGGATCCGAGAAATCCGCGCGGACCTCGGTGTTCTTATCTTTATGTCATTCTTCGTCCCCCATGCCAGTTTCCCTGCGGCCAGCTAGCAGCTGCAGGAGGGACGCCGGCTCCCCTCGGCATCGCCCAAGCATACTTACTGTACATCCTCTGTGTGCGCGTCGCCCCCCCCCAGGGGGCGCAAGGCGCGCTCGGAGTTCTTACGTGCAGCACAGTGCCTTCTCTTGGTGGCGGGCGCTCTCTGGCCATAAAAGGCCTCTGGGTAGCGATGCTCGGAGATCCGACATGCAGCACAGTCTTGGTGGCGGGCGCTCTCCGGCCATAACGATGCCTCTGGGTGGCGATGCGCCGCAAGGTGGCTGTGCTGCAGGTTCGCTTCGGGCGCGCGCCTTCGCCCTCAGAAGGGGGCGCGACAGTACCGGCAGAGGTGCCTCTGCGCCCCCTCCAACATGTAGCTCGGCGGCGTGCCCGGGGGGGGAAGCGAGCAGGAGGAGGTCTTCTCAGAGGGCGGCGGGGCTTCTCAGGAGCCCCCGCGCCTTCCAGGATATTTTTTTCGCCCTCGGGGCGGGACTCGGATAGCTTCTCTCGGAGGGCCCCGAGGCCCTCCGAGCCTGCTGAGGAGGCCCGCCCTTGGCTCGGGCTTCCCCCTCTGGGCCTGGGCTGGCTTTTCGTCCCGGGCTGTGTCGTAACGATCCAGCGGCCCGGGGCCGGCCCTTGGAGGCCAAAGAGGACGACGACGACGACGACGACGACGACGACGACGACGACGACGACGACGACGACGACGACGACGACGACGACGACGACGACGACGACGACGACGACGACGACGACGACGACGACGACGACGACGACGACGACGACGACGACGACGACGACGACGACGACGACGACGACGACGACGACGACGACGACGACGACGACGACGACGACGACGACGACGACGACGACGACGACGACGACGACGACGACGACGACGACGACGACGACGACGACGACGACTGGAGACGGCCACTGCGACGACGACGACGACAACGACGACTGGAGACGACGACGACGAGGACGACGACGACGATGACGACGACGACGGCGACGGCGACGGCTACGGCGACGACGACGACGACGACGAGGACGACGACCACCCACTGCACACCCACAGGGGGGTGGCGGGGCACCATCACCCACCTCCACGCCACGCCCACAGGGCCACGACTACAGGGGGGGTGATCCCATTCGCGAGGCCTTCACGAGTCTCACGGGCGTACCCGTTCGGGGGGAGGGCATCCGCCTCCGCGGGAGGACCGCTCTCGAGGCCGCCGAGAAGGCCGAGGCGGAGAAGGAGCAGGCGGCGCCAGAGGGCAGACCGAAGAAGAAACGCAAGAAGAAGCTGAAGGTGGAGGAGGACCGGGCTGGGCTGCGCATGGGAAGTGGGGAGGGGAATGCAGAGGGTCGGGGGGAGGGGGTGGGACAAGCTAGGTGCGCTCGGGCCATCTCTGAAGTTCTGCCCCTCCCATCCACCCCTTCCCACTGCGCTGTTTTTTT